CGGCCCGGCTCAGCTCGGCTCGGCTCAGCACAGCCCGGCCCGGCTCGGCTCAGCACAGCCCGGCTCAGCTCAGCTTGGCTTAGCATGATCAGCTCGCCTCGGCTCAGCTCAACACAGCCCAGCTTGGCACAGCTTGACTCAGCACAGCCTGGTTTAGCTCAGCTCAGCTCAGCCCAGCCCCATTCAGCTTGGCTCAGCCTGGCTCAGCTCAGCACAGCACAGCTCAGCTCAGCCTGGCTTGGTGCAGCTTGACGTGCAACAGCTGAGCTGGGTTCAGGCCCGCTGACAAGTCACGGTGCTGAGCTGGACAGGGAGTCCCCTGCCTCCCCCACCACCCCCACAGCCACCCCCCTCAAGCAGGAGGAGGCCAGAGCATCGGAGGATGATGCTAAATACAAACAGACCTGGAGGGAAAGGCGAGAAGCTGCCGCCGCGTTCCTGCCTGCTCAGCCCGGCTCAGGCAGCGCGGGGAGCCAACAGCATCCTCATGGGTCCGGCGTCGCCTCATGGGCTGCACGGCCGGGGGCCGAGCAAAGAGACGCATGTCCACGTGTAAAAACATAATCCTAAACTGCCTCGGCAATGGAGGGAGGTTTCCTTCTTCCCCCAGTTCACCTCGTGTGACAACAGCCAAACAAATATTTTAAAAACTCCCAGTAGCAGGGATTCGAGTGTATCAGCACCGCGGGCACCCGCCATGAATTTGTTTTAGAGAAGATGTGACCCAACTGGTGTCAAGTGTGAAGGCATCCTCTCCCTGGCAAAACTTCAAATCCTCTGAAAAACCAACTTGAAATCATGTATTAAATGGGGACATCTAGGGGAAATACCTGACGGTGCAGCCATGCTTCACAATAGCTCTGTTTTCAACAGAGGGCTTAGTGGTAAATGGTTGTGGGTGCAAACCTCTGTGATCCCAGCACCACTCACACCAGCATGTGTATTTGGCCCCACATCTGTGGCCCATTAATGAGCCGAGGGCCAAGGTGCAGGAGGGGGTGGGTTTGCACACTCTGCCCTGATGTGCAATGCAGGTGAAACTCAGCATCTCGGTTTGAGAATGTCTGGTCTTGGTGATTCCTCATCAGTTCCCCTGATACATTATACCCTAGAGCGTGAGGGATGATCGTCACCTCTCCTTGTCTTTGATGTAAAGAAAAATAAAAGGGTTTGTCCTGGTATGATCAGCCCTCACATTTCTATTGGGAATTTCCCTACACTGATGCTTGAAATGCCATTTAAAACTGTGGTTCCTGGAAATCTGTGGCTGTATGAGAATTTCAGCTGCCTTTTTTGAAGAAAGTTTTGTGTTCTTCTTCCCTTCTTACCACTGAGTTGTAGGAAGACCAAGTTGAAAATGCAACACAAGTATATCCCTGAAACAGAAAGAAGCTGAAAATAATTGACCGCTTGTTTTCACCTAACTTCATGGAGGTTGGATCTGAGCTGATACAATGTGTGGATCTGCCAATACTGGAGTAAGAACGGCATAGAACAGAAACAGAGCAACTACTTGCAAAATTTCATACCTTTTAATCTTAATTTTCCCAGCCATCTGTTTTTTTTAAAAGTTATCATTCTTATTAACAGTAGCATTTTTACTTTATTGCACTAGGGGACCTGGGCATTGTACACAACCACAGAAACATTGCTTGGATGGGACGCCCAGAGATCTCGCTTGCAGCAGGAGTGTCCCCAGCACCAGGCCAGCTCAGACAGCAATCTGTCCAGCTGAGTCTTGAAAAACTTCCCAGGCTGGAGCAGACATGACCTTCTGGGGCTACCTGCTCCCAGGTGCATCACCATCCTGGAGGAGGGTTTTTTCTAAGCTGATACCTGTGGTCATTGCCCCTTGTTCTGTTATCGGCCTCCCTGATAAGTGTTTGATTCTGTCACCTTTGTAATTGACCCTACAAGAGCTGTGGGCACATATAGGGGATATCTGTCCTTATCAGGTGGTGTAAAGATACAGAATCCAAGATACATCCTGTGCCAAAAGGTTTGCAGTGTAGGTAGACGTCCTGCAGATTAGCTGAGGGTAGGCTAACCAGATCAGTCTCTCTTCTTTGCTGGCATTACTTTTGCAAACTCAGTTACCCCCTTCAAAAGTTTCTGAGCAACTCTGATTTAGCGCAGTATTTTGAGGGCTGTGGCATTTTTTATCCAGCACTTGATACCCTATAAGCACATTTGCTATCTCTTGGCCCTGTAGCAGAAGAGAATCAGACATTTGAATTCCTTCCATCCCTTTCTTGGAGAAATCTCACAGATGTCAAACCAAATCAGCAAAGGGGTTAATTTTCTGTCTATGAGTTACTACTTCTAACTCTTATCACTCAACTGAAGAGAAAGAGAAAGAGCATTATGAACTCCAGAAATGCAAAAAAACTTTGCAAATCTGCCCCAAGCTCCTGGGAGCACCTGTGATCCTATGGACAGATGGTCACAAGCATCACTTAACCACGACTGCTCAGTGTCAGCATGGTCCTCAGCAGCGCCCGACAGCAGAGCTGAGCTCTCGCTCAGCGTTACAACCCAGGGAGAAGAAACTGCTGCCCTGGCTGCAAGACTACACAGAGCTCCATGTTTTGAATGTTGGGTTACAGAGGGTCTGTTGACCAAAGTAAGCCAATGGAGTTAGATTTTATTAGTATTATTCCTGGTATAGGTTAGGGGTAAGGAATAAAGAGCACTTTCAGCATTTATTGCTGTGCTGGATTGGACTTGTTCCGGGTTGGAAGAGAAATGGGTCATAAACACTTTATATAAATATAAGAGCAGTTCAGCTTCCTAACAGCTAACTTGAACAAGAAATTAGCATTCAGAAACAGCCATCTCAGCTACAGCTCCCAGACACGCTGCACAGGACACCATCAGGTACTGGAAACTAGAAACACCAAAGCCCTGGCCAAGAGGAAAAGCAAAGCCCTGCAGTGGCCGCTGTGTAGGACCTCCTCAGCACAGACCAACAGCTCTGAGGTACCACTCGTCTTGAGGTTGAGATTTGCATTACAATCTAAAATAAATCCTTAAGTCTGTTCTCTTGCACATTTTAGTCAGATTTAATGCTCTTGAGCATTGTAAGAATAATTTCTGCCCCTTCATTTCAATACACATTACCCTTTAATGCTGAACGGAAATGGAGCCTTTGTCTCCAAAGCTGAGAGGAATTCTTGAAAAGGTGGGAAATGCATTGAAATGGGGTTGAATCTGGTTCTGGGGCAGAATTTTCCTTCTGTTAGAGGTCATTGCCATAGTGCTAATTCTGTTTCGCTGCTCTTCCACGGCCAGCTGAGATGAAGCTGAAATCTGGGTGTTTTCTGCAGCATCTGCATTTAGATGAAGTAATGCTGCTTGTTGTCAGCAGGAAATGCTGCAGTACTGGCAGACTATTTCCAGCTCCTGGATGTTCATCGAAAGAATTACCTGAACAGTAAGCACTTCTAAAAACGAGATTGGCATTAATGCTCTAAAATTACAGGTCCTGTGTAATGTTCTGATACACAGAACGCTACATCACTTAGGATTTAAAACCAGAGATAATAGACGTTACAAATATTGCATTTCAGATGTTATAACAAATGCAGCACTCTGTAATACTAATTAATTAGCAGCTTAGTTAATACAAGAGCTTGGCAATACCCCAAAAAGCTTTCAGATACAGCATGTATCACCAAGTCTTCCCTGCTATAGCATGCCCTGACTGCTCTGGAAAGTAACATGGACTGGCTACTCGAGCATCAGCTTCTGAAATATGAATGGCTCAGGGGACCGTGCAGAACCACCATACATTTGCAGCTCTCATTGAAGATACTCTTTTCCCCCTTCCCTTTCCATTGCCCCCTTCCCTGTTTGTGAGACAGAAAAACATCCAAGAGCCTGTGAAACCTGTTTGATTTTGTAGTAGAATTGTCCTCTGCACCCCAGCAGCATGTGAAGTCCCCAGGTCAGGCTTGCTAGTGCTGTACAAACCAGGTCCTGGCACAACAAGCAGATAACCAATGCAGGAAAAAATCCAGGCCAGCAATGAAGGAGATCTTTACAGCTGTGCAAGCGAGATGCCAGGAACAAGGGGCAAGAGGGGATTTCTGGCTCTCTGAAGCTAATTCCTTAGTACTGCAGCAACCTCATCATGTAATCCTCTCCATAAACCGATTGTGCTCTGTGCTAGAAAGCAGGTGGGTTTCTCGCCAGTAGTGTCCTCCACATGAGGCTGTCACAACCCCCCATCTGCTGGTTCACAGCTTCCCCACCTCCTGCCTGCAGTTCTTGAATCTTTTGCCATGTTTTTGCAAATCCTCATGGTGCTCCAGCTCAAATGACACCTCTTCCATGGATCTACTCCACTGGCAGAGATTAAAGGGTAGCAGAATTGGACCAGGCTGTAATTTTTTTTCTTTTAGTGGAGGCTGTTTGTCCTTGTGTTTGCACTTGGGGAAGTTTGAGGGAAATGCATGGTTTGAGGGTTTGTCTCTTCCTCTGCACCAGAGAATATTAAATAACACTAAAAGTAATTGCTAGTGGGTCATCAGTTAAAAGTGACAACTCCAAAAGAAAAATGGGTTATTTTTCCAGTGTTTCTGGTTTGTTGGAAAAGTTCTTTTTTCCTCCAGGGGTGGGGTGAAGGAGAAGAAAGACATAAAATTAGGAGCACTTCAACGTTGTCTTCTGTGCAGAAATCGCCTCTTTCATAAATCATGACCATCTTATTAATGTCTATTAATTATGAACAGTATCTCTTGTCTGCTACTCTGTTTTAACTGCCTGTGCAACATTTCTGTGAGCAGTGAGCATTTAAAATAAAACAAATGCTGCTAATTATTGCTCTCAGCTTTGTATAGACATGCCTGAGAGCTAACTGTTTTCCAGATCTGCAGTTTTATTGCTTTGTCCATTATGTGACTGACCTGAATAAGGACCAGCTCCTGCTGCTGTTTGACTTGCTGGACCAAAACACGAGGGGGAGGATTTGCTTCAATGAGTTCTACACAGTGGTGTGCACCCTGCGAGTCCTGCATCTTCCAACACCCCTGAAAAGGGAATCAGCTCACTGGAGCTGATCTTTATTCACGGCATGTAAGGGATGGAGAGAGTCCTTGGGTCTATACTGCTACATAGAGGAGGAAAACAGGGAAATGAGCAGACTCCTGTTAATACCAATAAAACCACCCCTGAACCTTTTGCAAGGTAGGAATCACCTAACCACTCCTCCCAGCTCTGGCTGTCCATCTTCGTTCTCCAAAAACCAAGCCCTTGGCTGTGTCTACCTGTGGGGAAGAAGAGCATCTGTTTTCACCCATCGGTTTTTGCTAGTCTGTAGGTGCAGCACGTGCTGATTCCTTCTTCAGCCTCCCGTAGGCATCACCTACAGAGCAGACAGGAGACACTGGTGCCTTTTCGGGGAAAAGCAGCAGGGACAGCAGGCTGCAGTGAGGGACAGGGATGGTAAAGCCAGGGTTACCTCCAGAGCTCAGCATTGCTGTTGGATATGTCTGGCAGCTCCGCTCCGGACCTGACAGCCATCTGAGGGCCAGCACTCAGGGCTGCTGCCTGCAGGACTTGGAGAGGAAGAAGAGGAGCCAACCACGGGGTGTAGCCCTGCAAGTGATTCAGCACACAGGAGGGAAGGGAGAGGACCTCACAAAGCAGCCTTGGAGCTCAGCCAGCTGTCGTGCCCCTCCCCGGCACAGCCCGAACCCAGCTGGCAGCAGCACCGTGCCTCTGCAGCAGGAAGCACCAAGATGTTGGTATTTCCCGTGGGCGCGACTCGCAGGAGGTCACCTTTATTCTCTGAACACAAGCACCAGTTGGTATTCCATGTATTCTTTCCAAGCAGGAAATCAGTGCTTATCATCTGTTTCTAAACCTTTCTGCCCCAAAACAGAACCATCTTGAAAAGCAGTTCATCCACCGGCACACAGGACCCACCTTTCAACTGCTGGACATAGACAGGGATAATGGGATTGATTTTAATGAGTTTGAAGTTACAAGGTTTTTCTTCAGCATCCAGAAAGAAGAACTCAAGAAGATATTCAAGTACTTCGATATTTCTGGAGATGAGGTAAAATTAGAGAAATTACAGTCAAAAGATAGGTCATGAAAATGCCCCTAAATGCAGCCCGCAGCCACTTCTCACTCAAGCATGAGTTTCCTTCCTATTGACTTCAGGAGCATCTCTTTGGTAACTTACTGCACAGTCTGAATTGAAAATGTTTTAACAGTAAGATAGTAACTGGAAGAAATAATTTGGGGGGGGTGTGTGTGTAAACCAGGCATATTTCTCTGTCTGAGGAGACTCTTAAATGGGAGGAGGTGGTCAGGACTGGCAGAAGTACCTTTATTTAAGACATTTTCATCTGAGTTTGCTTGTGGCTTTTAATTATTTTTCAAGCTCTCTGCAATCCATTCCCAGAGTTGCTGGCCAGGGGTGTACCTCAGTGGGGTACACTCGGCCTTGAAACTCCTAGAAAGATTACAAGTGCTGTACCTTGGCTTATGCCTGTGCCATGGAGATGCTGATGCCAGGTAAGAGCCCCAGGGGAAGCTCTTCTCTTCTCTGATGGATCCCACATTGTGACCTTAAACCAGCTCCAGGTTCCAAGGAGAGGCCACAGGGATCTTGCCCATCCCTGCCCCATGGCAGGGAGCAGCTCCCTGCAACCAGAAAGGGAACAAAGCTGGTATCAGCACTTCCCCTCCAGCTCTGCACTGACACAGTCCTTACAGAGGTGCACACACACATCCCTTGCCAATTTGCTTTTGCCACCAGCTCACCTTTGTCCCTCTCTGGTCACCCATGCTCTTTCAAATCCCTCCCTGCTCTGAAGTACTCTCTGCTAATGACCACCTGCAGCTACACTGGTACAGAATCAGTCATTAGTAGACTGTAGACATCTCTTATCCGTGTCACAGCTTCACACTGTCTTCGTGACTTCAGTGTCTCAGCACGCTCCAGGAGCACATTTATCCAGACAGTCATTAGTAACTGAGGGAGATCCCTTCTCTTTCTCCTTTCTGCTGCTAGGTTCCTGGGTTATTGTTTTTACTGATAATTCTCCTCCTCTACGTTCCAGTATCCTCTCCAATTATTTGTTACAGGCAGTTGTTGCATCTCTCCGGTAAACCCTGCGGGGCTTGCAGCCTGTTTCCTGTGTGGTTTAGCAGTGCCGCAAGGTATCAAAGCCTCTGTCCTGCTCAGTGCCTGTGGATAGTTCTCTAATGCCCTTGAAGTAGTTTCCCGGAACAAGCTGGTTTAGCCCTAAGTTGCATGGATCCTGTCCTTTCATCTCCAGGCTGCCTGATTAAAAGGCCATTTCAAGCAGGAGCAGCATGGCTCTGACACAGCCATAAAGGCACTCCACTCCCCCTCATCCACACCATAACCCCAGCTGTTATGAATCATTCCAACATCTGCAAGTCATTACAAATGGTAGAGAAACAGCCATGTGCCAGAGAGGTGCCCTGTGAGCCTGTAACATGTTGGGGATGAGCCAGAGGCAATTGGTTGAAACCAATTTCTCTTGAGTTAATCAGGAAACTAGAGCAAGTTGGAGAAGGGGATGGGAGCCTGGACTTGGGGTCTTTCTCTGAAATAACTGTTTATATTGGGCAAGGCTGCCTTGCTAAGATAGGGATCTATCTCCTCTCCAAAACTAGCAACTGAAAAGAGAATTCAAGATGTTTGCAGTCTTCTGCATAGACAAACCACAACAAAAAGAGGAAGGGGAACACGAATAGACTCCCAGCAGGACCAGTGAGCTCCTAACACACTAGCAAGGACCCTTTACCCAGCTGGGAACAATGCAGCCTTGCTTCTCAGTCCCCCTGGGCTCAGTTGACAACTGCCAGATAGATGTATCAAACTTGTAGGAAGTGAATAAATCAAAGTGCTGCAGTAAAGCCATTGCCTGCTCTGTTTTCTCCATTGCACATCGCCACCGCTCTGCTAAGGTGAGCACCAGAGACTGGTGTCTGAGGAGGAGGAAGGACCGATGCAACTCAACTTCAGCCTGGTGCCTCACAGCTCTCCGCAGGACTAAGCCTGATGTCAGCATTAGCTTCCCCCATGCGCTACCATAGGTGTGTCCTCTTGGTATTTTAGAGACAATCCTCTCCCACCCCCTGCGTTACACACTGGTTTGGCGAGAACCTTCCACCCCAGCGCTGCCGTTTTGCCACGTTCAGACACACACAAAGCCAGGCCGGTTTGAAATGGTGCAGATCGATGGCCAAGGCTGGAGCCAATCATGCTGGCAGCTTTCTGCTCCCATGCTTTCTGCTCTGCATCCCTGGCCTGTGTGCTCTGGGCTCAGGCAGCTCCCTGCATCCCTGCTGTCGCGTGAGGAACAGCCCAACGACAGGAAACCCCGTTTGCTTTGTTAACGAAACCACCTAATTAAGTCCATGTGGAGAGAAAGCAAGACTGCAGTTTAGTTTCTCTTGCTAAATATTGACTGTTTACCCTTTGGGCACAGCAACCCAGTGAATTTACTTCCCCCTCTCACCTTACACACAGGCCATCACACCATTGAGCCTCCTCCAAACTTGCTGCCATTAGAGCTTCCCTAATGAAGCAGCATGGCTGCAGCATAAGGGACTAATTAGAACAGAAAATTCCAGTCTCCAAGCACTGCCACTGACCTCCCATGAAGTGAGATTTCAGCATGCCTGTGAGGCCGCATCCCACCTATCAGACCTTTGCAACTATGTCTGAGTCCAGAGAAAACTACCCATCTGAAATCCCAACTTTCCAGGATTATTCAGAGAAAGAGAGAACACAACAAACAACTTTGCAGAGCTGAGATGAGTTTAGTGCCTTTTCCATAAATTACCCTGATATTTTCAGCTGAGAGTCAGAGGGACCAGCCACCTCAGGCTTTCAGCCAGATACTCCCTACAGCGTCCAGAGCAGCAGCATCAGGTCCACAGTTAAAAACTATTTCCCCTGGTGCTGTCTCTGGACCCCAGCACCATTCCGCAGGAGCAGAGGCCCAGTGCAACAGCGGCACTGGCCAAACTGGGAGGCAGCTTTAGCCAGCAGTTAGCAATCAGTCTGGCACAGGGCCAGGTGTGAGGGTGCAACACCCACCACAGCAGTCATAGCTCCTCATGCGATGTCTCATAGTGAGATATAGGTCAATGAAACATGAATTTAAGGCACAATACAAACATTATTTAGATATTAATTAGGAATAGAAACACTGTATCTGTATAACATAGCTCTGTAAATCGCATTCTTCCCCCCTAAGCTTGTATGGTGTAGGGTGTGAAGCAGCACTTGATTTTACTGCTTGCAGCCACTAAGAAAATTTCAACTCTTGTGCACGTTCGGGGTTTTGCTTTGGTCAGCAGTCAGCCTGGAGTTCCCCAGCCCACTCCATACACCGAAATGTGCTACAGCTGCCATACTAAGGATAGCTTGGTGTGGTGTGGGTTTGTATGCACACATGCAACAGGGGACAGTCATCGACAAGTGTCTAAACTTTGCTCAGCTAGATGGGTAAAAGAATGGTCCCACGTAGTTTTATAATCCTGGTGTTTGAGGAAATCAGCTCTGAGACCTTCTCTGTCTGTGCTGGGGGAGGTGGAAGCAGGGCTGTCTCATGGGTGAGAACAAATGGCTACAAACAAGCCTCTGTTATTTTTCATGTGTATACATCTATATTAAAAAGGGAATAGGTACACACACATATATAAAGGGAATAAAAAAATATATTAAAAAAGTAGGTATAAAAAAATTGCAGGAAAATCACATTTTTGGTAACTCACATCACAAATTCTAACATGAAATTATTCTAAGATAAAATAATTGAAATGTTTAGCTATGATAACATTAGACCAAAGTGCCCTACAAAAAAAATTATTCCTACTCCTCTGATACCTTAGGTAGTTAATCAAGACTATAAAGTGGCGACCTGAATTAAGACATGTCAGTTAATGTAATTATAGGACAATTACACAGATCCATTATTTTGCACTGTTCACAAAGGAGCCAGAAGCACATCTGCAGCCAGTCGAGCCAGGCACAGAGGAGGTTCATGCTGGATGTCTGAGTGCAGCTCGAGGCCCTGCATTCTCCACAGATGCACACCTTATTTGCAAGATAAAACGTTGTCACATACTAAAATTACTACCAAAATGTGTCTCTAGGGTATGAGACAGATAATGAAAAAGTTGTAGAGCTCCAGCCCAGAATTAAAAGCCCTATTGAAGAAATTTAAAAAGAAAAGCAACACTGAGTTTATTTCTTAAGGCATGGCATTTCCAGGATTACTTTTATTTTTTAAATGCAGGGGAGAAAAAAGTTTCTTTTTTGTTTTAAATACAGGAAATTTTGTACAGCATTTCTGATAGACGTTCACGATGGTTTGCTCTCACTGGTAAAAGATCTTCCCTAGGTTAAAAAAACCCCTATATAATTTAACAGACAACCTGCTTGTGCTTTGCAGCTAATTAAAAATACGTGCACACGCTACTGAGATATGTCAACCAAGAAACAGAGGTACAACACAAAAATACATAATGCATTTTAAAAGTTACCTGATGTTCACAGCATCTTTGTATTGTCCTAGAATTCTTCATTAACTGAAGGAGCCGTGAAGGAAATTTAAAAGCATATTTTGTACAACTGTTATATTTGATTCTAAATGACTTCATAAAAATTACAAGGGAAAAAATGGTCACATCATTGGAATCCCCTCATCCTTGTTTCATGGCGTGTTGGATTTTCTGTGTCAATACCAAATCTAGCACCATATCCTACGTAAATGAATGTTACATGGCACACACAAACAAACTGCATACAAAAGGTTTTACCATAAAAATGAAGATATTTATTCAAGAAGTACAAATTTGATGGTACCAGCCATCTTTGAAAGCCATTACCATGAGGCAGAGAGGACACAAACCAAAGTCTCTTGCTCAGAGCATATGAAAGCAAGGGTCTTACAAATTGCCAGCTAATGCAGTCGTTTCAATCATTGCTCAAAAGCCACCTCCACTTTTTAAACATTCCCTGGACTTAAAAGAGGCACAAATAGGGTTTTCAATACAAGACTGGTTAGTTATTTTAATAAAGCCATCAGCTAAAATTTGTTTTAAATTTCATTAAATTGTCTCCAGCCTTTGACTGGACTCAAATTTCCTAAAGAAAAAAGGGACGTGGGAACAAGCAGGTGCAGAATTTTTGGAGCTCAAGATGAACTAAAGTTTTAAGGCAGGAGTCAGGATTTTAAGTTCTCTATTTGCCCCATGGCTCTGATCGAATGGTCTTCATCTGTAAAATATACAAATACAGAGTTCTACCAGATAAATACCCAACAAGTGGTCCTGCTTTGAGAGCAGGAACATGCTTCTTCACAGAGAGTCCAGTGGATGTATTTATTAAAAGTCTCAAAATCCACAGTAAGAAGCCCGCTGGTTAAAACATCACATCTTCCAACCATTTGACTTTTGTAGGCTCAGTGGCATGTATCTCCCTTTGAAGGAGAGCTATAGCTCCATCTCCTATGAACAAGAGCAACACACACGCGGCTACGGAGTATCTAAACTGATGAAATATGGAAGAGGAGAGCCATTTGCAGAACAGAACAATCAAAAACACTTTATGAAACGGAAAGTCTTAAAGCAGGCAGACTTGTATATACAGTCATTAACCAACAGAAGTGTTTGTAGCTGCAGATATAATCGCAGGACATTCATCTTCTTTGGGAGAAGACAGAAGCATGGTTGCTGGGAAGTTTAACTCCAAGGCTTCCTCGATCAGTTAACTTACAAGGCAGACCACCAACATCTAGTGGGTTTGAAGCAGATTTTTTTCTTTTTCCAAGGAAGTTGCAGAGCATATGAAGCTCATCCCCCCACCCAAAGCAAGTTTTTGAAAATGCCTTTCTCAAATACCTCTATATCCTACTTCAGGAGAGCGCAAGCTGTCCAAGAGCTGCCAGCTGTCATCCAGGAGGGAGTCAGAATTATGGGGGAAGCAGTGAAGGGCAAAGGAAATAAAGCCCCCTTTTTCTAACAGACTACTTTCATTTCAACATAACAGGATCTGAGCAGCGCAGTGAAAAAGACAACTTTTTTTTTTTTTTTAAATGTAAACATTCTCTGCATAAGGTGCAGGGTCTTGGATGTATGTACAATGACATAGAAAAGCGTTTGTAAAATAGATCAAGAGTCAGAAATGTAGCTACCACTTATGCTTCTGAAGATAGAAATGGAGAAACATACAGCATTCAGTTTGTCAACACTGACACAGTGAAAATGCTTTCAAAACTTCATGGCTAAAAGCATCCCACCATTGTAACAAAGATTATTTTTTTTAATAGTTTTTAAACAGTTTTTACATTATTTATTAACAATGGATATATATGCAGAAGCATGTCATACTACAGCAATATTTTATCTATTGGCCATCTGTTTTACCAAAGATTATGCACAATGCCATGTGTTGCCTTGTTGCTCCAATGAACCCCTCTTTCCTCTTCTCCCCAAAGCAACTTAGGAACTTTCTGTGAAAGGTGAAGAGAAGCTGGGTTTTGTTTGGTTGCTCCTGGGGTGAGTTTTTTTGTTATTATTACTGCTTTTAGCATTAGGGTCTATTAAAATCCCAACTTATTACACTGTTGACTCACACCATTGAGTTTTCTAAAGTATTTCCCAGATCCAGAGAAGCAGAGCCTTCAGAAAACTATAAAAAAGTTCTCTCAGTGCAGCTATTCCAAGCTATGTTTTCTGCAGAGGACACCAATAAACTGTGACACACAAAGAGCCAAGGTAGTCAATGAAACTTTCGGGAGCTGGATGCTCTAAAGGAGCAGCTGTCACGTGGTTGTGGAAGATGACCCTGAGCACCCTTCTGTGGCACACTGAGAAATGTACCTACAGCACCTGCAGCTCTTCTAGAGCTCCCTTGCCCCAGCAGACTACACATGTCTATGCCTCTCTACCCTTCAACCTGTTCAGGAGTGTGGACTTTCACTAGGTTATTACTTCTGGTTCAGACAGAAGCAACAATAAAGAGTATAAAAATCTGAATCATGTCAAACAAACCTGTCACTAATGTCGTAGAAAAATGTTGTCTGCTAGCATCAGTTCATAGCCCGAGCTAATCAGGAATGACACAAAGGGCTGATGGGTCTAACAAATAAAAAAATCTTACTATTCCTCACTTATCTGTACTTGGCATTGCAGTTCATGGCTGTGTACATTAAAAAACCTGTTGCATTGCTTCGATTATACCCAAGACACCACAAAGTGCAGGGCAGCACGCCAGCTGGCATGCCGAAACCCTGCCCAGGCCGTGTCCAGTGGCAACGAGCTGCAAGTTCAACACACGCTCACGCTGCAAAACAAAGATGCACACACCAGCATGCTTCTATCCTGTCTCCCCGTGAGCAGCCGCTGGTGCCCACCATGCAGACCTGCACCAGTCCTCACTGGGGCTGCCAGCTAGACAGCAGTTTAGTACTTGGTTAGTCTCACTTCAGCCATGTCTACTCTGCTCTGCAATTAAACAAACCTTCCCTCCCTCAGGCATGTGGGGAGCCCTGCTCTGCCCCAGGAGCTCGCATAAGTCCCGCTGGAGCCTCAGCCTGGTCCCCAGCACTGGCCTTTGCGCCAAAGACCATCTCACAGAACAAAGACAAGGCATCTCAGGGACAGAAATGACTCTTCTCTCAATGTGTATTGCAACTTCTAGTTGTATACATGGGATATGTCAGTCAACATGCTGTATGCTTATTTTTTTAATATATATATATTTTGAAACATAATTCTTTCCTAAATCTTGTAAAATTTGTTTCCAGCAGGGTATGTGCTTAGTACACCTGTCATTTTATATAAAAGATCTTGAAAAGACTTCATTTTCACCTATAAAAGCATTTTACCATTGAATTTTTTGTTTTAGATACGTGCTTAAGGGACAGGAAGGGGAGGAAGGCTGTTAGAGAAAAGAGTATTTTCATGAACCAATTCTCTGTTCTACTGATAGCCCACTTATGATGTGGCCTTCAGATCATCACCTTGCTCCCTAACATAAAAAGCAATTAGTATAAAACATAGTCAACTATTATGGCATAATAAAACTGAACCTTTTACAGCTAAGAGGAAGGAGAGGGAAAGAAGGAGCTCTCCCAGACCCTACACTCTGTAATCTCAAAAACAGTACATGGTGACAATGGCCTGAATCAAAAATGGAAAAAAAAAAAAAAATCAACAAAATGTATCATACAAAAAAAAAAAGGTAGTGTTTTGGTATTCACAGTTACAGAACTGTCACTCTGGTTTGCTCCTCCTTAATCTATCATGATTTCTCTGCTTCCAGAACAGACTGCAGGGAAATGACATTGTAAAAACCATTTATACAGAGAGGTAAGTTATCTCTTACAAAACAAGTAGTGTCTTTCTGGCACAAAACCATCCTTTGCCCAGGGAAAACCCAAGAGATTTTTTAGCTGTTTATATATCAAGTATTTTTTTCCCCTCTGTAATGCAAAAGATCTGTCTGCAAAAACCCAGTAGAGTAAATCATGTCTGTCTTAAAAAAACTCCACAATAGAAAATTTATTATAGATTAGTATTTATCAACTTTGATTTTATCTTTAAAAAGAAAAAAAAAACACAACAAAAAATAAATCCAAGTCACTTTGGTGTTTAGGAGAACAGGGAACTAATTTTCCTTTATACAGCTCTGCCACTGCACTTCATTCATCCTGTACCAAATTAGGAGCTGTCAAAAAACCATAGGCTTAATACAACATGGGGACCAAAAAGAGAGATATATTTATTTCAGGTTATTATATATAATAATTCAAGTTATTTTATATGCATTCAGGGAAATGCATATAAACTGTGGATCTGTTTTGCAACCATCAAGGTAACTTGTGTGCCTGCTTCCACTTGCTGGGAAAGACTCTTGTTGTTCTACAAGTGACCTCTGCTCATTCTGGCTCTACGCTGATGCTCACGGAGCAAGAACTCCCTTCGAGTCCAAGAAACTGAGTTCTGTGGAATTAATGAAGGAGTAAAGTTTAAAATTGTCAGTGTAACCCACCAGTTTCACGAGAAGACAAGAAAGAGCTGGAACAACTGTAGCTTTAAATCATTCAGACCAAAGAGGGAAGACAGAAACCAATAAAAATACGCTATTCATACCTGAATAGCACATTTGACTTGGGAAGAATTGAGGTTATTTCAATGATGGCTGAAAAACCAAGCAAACTAGAAATCACATTTAAAAGGAACAGGGCATTTGATCTCACACGAAAGCATTACCAGACAGGGGTGCAGAGCAGCCAAAGGAACACAGAGAGCATCTCTTAACTGAGGAAACAAACAATTAGATTCCCCACCCCTCCCAATATGCTCTGATTCAGATTTTTGAGTCTACAAAAGGATTTGTCATTTGCTGAAAGGGCTCCTCTTACATTCTGAAGGGAAAGCACTGGCTGTGAAACACTACCATCACGCTCTGGGCTGCGGGGGTGTGTCAGTGCGGGTGCCTCCAGTTGCCCTGGCTGGGGAGTCACCAGAGCTAGAAGACTGGCCGCTGTTTCAGATGACACTCACACAAAAAGCTGAAAACCATACGCTGTCATGTCCTCCTTACCATCTTCCACGCTTTGTGCCCTCTAGGAACTTAGCAGGGGAAGTTGCAATCTATTGCATCTAACTGCAGTTTAACCTGGACCTATTACACTGGTGCCATTTGACAAAGGTGATGCACCTAACGCTTAAGCACAGACCAGCGCATCACTCAGCTAGCCTGATCAAAGCTTGTTTTCATGATCTGAGTGATATATAATAATTCAGCAGGCACGTACTCAGGTGCCAGTCAGCCAGTAAACTTCAGGCTAAGTCAGTCTTGTAGCAAGTAAGTTACAGTACAGTACATGAAAGTATACATTGACTAAGTTATTGCCTAAGGCTCCGGTGGGCTGCGTTCCCAGCTCGGGAGCCAGCAATGGCACAGGACTGTGTTGCCATCTTGGAATGTACAATTGCTTGGTCTGAGCATCACCGAGAGCTGCCTGCAGGGACGGAGATCGAGCTGCCAGCACAGCTCTGCTACCCAGGGCTGGCTGTGCCTGGGCAAAGCACGTGAGTTAGGTCAAACCAGAAAGGATCCCCGTGAACAGGCAGCACGGGACCTACCCAGAGCAGCTGTGATTCTTGAACTGTATGTGGTGCTGATGTGAAATTTTATAAATTGATTAGTTTAATTAAAAAAAGTGCTCTCTGTTGCTCTGGCTCCATGGATCAGGACACCACCTACAGTTTTAAGAATCATTACATATTTGTATTGTTTAAATGAACTACAATCTCTTCCCTCCCTCTTTATACCCCCTCCCTTTTCCCTTCCCCTTCCCTCTCCCTTCTTTTGCCCTTGCCCTGTGCTGCCTGCTGTTGTGTTAAATATGATGATCAGGCAAACCCCAAAGGCCAGTTTACATTTTTATGTTTTGTTTTTGCAGATCTCCATCACAGATGGAATTTTTGCTGGTCATTTTTTGGAACCAATCCATTAGCAGGACAAACCGAAAGAAGAGAGGGCAGTGAAAACAAACCCCATGACAGAGACGGAGGGAAGAAGAATCAATAAACAAGCAGAAGTCAGTTTTCCACCGGGGTGGGATTTGCTAAGGGCTGGCTCACGATGACTTGCACCACATAGTCCTTTGGGATTTTCAGCTCCTCCAGTTTCATTTTGTCTGCCAGCGGCCTGCCTGAGAAGAACCAGCGCTGGCTGCCTGGCTCCACTCCCTCCACCGCGTGCAGCCGCCTCTTCATGTGGTACACCGTGTCCATGCTGCGGACCATGAGTTTGAGGTCTTTGCCTGTGGACAGGCGCAAACGAAGCTGGCATTCATGCCCTGAATTGGGTGGGGGATCTGGAATATCCAGAGTCTCCAGGTCACCCTTCTCCTCTATCATGTTGATAGGTGGGGCGAGGCAGTAGACAGGAAGCTGGTACCGGTTGCCCAGTTCATCGTAACACTCTGTAAGAGCACCTTCAGGAGATAAGAGAGGAAAAAATGAGTATGAATGCATTTCACATTTAACACTGAAGTGGTCATGCTCAGAAGTATTTACCCTACTGTTAAACCATTTGAGTGGTGAGGTCTGAATTCAGGCTTTAAAGGATCAATTACAACAATCTCAAGTTTTCATTAAAAATTGCTTCACCTTGTTTTCATATGGAAACTTGGGGTTGAGTTACAAGCACCTCCTAAAAGCCAAATGCACCCCTCCCTCCAGATAAACCAGGATAAACTTCAGAAGCAGCAGGAAGAGCTGAGGGAAGATGATGTTCTCCCCATGAGTCATTTAAAAGAGGAGTGCTTCTCTGGCAGCACAGCCTGAGGTTCAGGGCACATGTGCACCCAGAAATGCTACTTGGATGAACTATACAATACCAAGCCTTGTGAAAAGACAAAATGGTAAAGACCAAAGGCAAAAGACCCCTGTGAAAGAAAGATTTTGTAACTTCTCAAACATTTAAAAATTGCTGAAATAGTTTCATATAGGACCCATGTTTTAGTGAGCACTGCCAGAACAAACACACACGACCACCCAAGTCAGACAACTCCGCGGCTCTGTATGGAGCACGATGTCACCACCAAAGCAATGACACCCAGCACGTACTTTATATTTGCACGGGATCTGTAACTCCCATATTCAAAGCTCTGAAGTTTCAGGAGTGATTTTTATTTCCCCAGACTCCTGAGAGGTTCCTCAGGATAAACTGGGTGTTCATGTTAAAGACAACCGGGCAGCAGCATGCTGCCTTGCACAGAGCATTCCTTCCTACTGAAATGGTACAACATGCATGGAAGGGCTCAAGAATTAACACACTTACTGAAGTAACAAATACAAGCTGACTTTTTCACAGTACGAGACTCACTCTATAAAGATATTTCAAGAACTACCCTGAAAAAAAAGCAGCACATTTTTCAAAGAGTTACAAGAAGAGATGGCTGAAAGCAAAGCCCTGCTGCATACAGCACACATCACTTCTTGCAGCAAGCCAGGAAACTGAGATGCTGAGGAAGCTGCATCCTAAATCACAGCAGAAATCCCTTCTTACTGTGGCTAAAAAACCCCCAGACATTCACACACTCAAGCAAATGTTCTCCCTTTTTGAATTTACCTGCTATAATAAAGTTCTGCATTTTTGCCCCTAGAGGGGGCACATTCACTTGCAAGATCACCCATCCTTTTGTAGTTGGAAATGTTTGAAGAGGAGCCAAGTCCTTGGAGCTACAGAATATTTAAAAAACTCTTTGACTCGGCAGTTCTGCACACAACATCCAACTGCTCCTTGTTAGAAACTAAGGGCAGGTTTTTTTAGTTGGAGTTTTTTTCATGCTGACAGCGAGTTGTCTTAAACTTTGCTGTTTGATCAGCAAAATTACCATAATAAAAAATGGTAACTTGGGGATATACTATGCCACTCAGTCCATGTGACAGCAGCATCTTGTGCTGGAAAACTTCTTTCTTTTAGACAGAAGGCCCTCTTTTTTAAAGATAATTGCATTGATGAAAACACACAGAAGTAGTCTTTGGCTAGAAGACCAATGTTTTAGGTGCAGCTGCTTTTCAAGGCTTTTCTGTTTGTACAGGTAGCACCAGGGCCGCTATGTCCTGACATTTATTGAGAAAACAAAGAAAATGAAATCCAGAAAAACATAGTTATACCACTCACTACAGTCTTGTATTATTTATGAATCTCAGAGCAAAGCAGCTTTTATCGAAATTGTATTGGATCCATACCTTTCATGGTACTCTCTGATTCACAGACTAAAACCTGAAGTTCCCATACTTCAGTTTTCTTTTATAATGTTCATTTCATTCTGTACGCCTGATCTATTTAGTAAATGTCACAGCACTGAATTCTGGTTCATGGTTCATAGAAACAAGCAGATGCAGTCTGCTGCTAAAAAAAAAAAATAATCTAAACTTCAACAGCACTGAAATTTAGCCAGGGCAGCTAAACCTGTACCTTGCTTTAAAAACCATGGATCTTAAAAAGAATGCTCCTACTTTAGAACAGCATATCAAAGAGTTAATTTTAAATAGCATGGTGTAAGCTTGCTAAGGAATTTCTTCATCATTTATATCCTTGCCCAGCTGAACTAACATCAAGGTCAAAGCATATGCTATAAACACTGGATTGCTTAATCATAATCAGATAAGCAATATTTTAAAAACCTTCTGAAACAGCAGCTAACTTGGAGGTCTGTCTTTTTAAAAAGAAGAAAAAAACTAAGAAGAAAGAGACACACTAGAGGAAACCTCTTGTCAATAAACAGTACACAGTCCCATCCCAGGCTAAGAAACTGTTTATAACAGTTACCACAAACCTTACCAGTAATCCCATTTCTTCCACTCATACTGGCACAAACATCCCTACGACTCTGAAGGCCCGTTACCTACCACTCAATGGTTTTCAAGAGTGGATATATTGGTTAAAGCACAGAAGACAACTACTGCAAGCAGAAGAGACTTAGGGTGGTACCACCTCCTTACTGGCACACCACGCCTGCTGAAGGCCAAGCCATAGCTCCCAGAAGGAGGTGAGGAGGTGTTGGTCCTCACCTCCAAAGACACACAGAGCTGTGCACACACACTCTGGTCCTCTTTAGCCAGCTGACGCCCTCCAGGCTTTACCAGGCTTTTGGTTAAGTGATCTTTGGAGATGGTCAGTCTCTGCTACTACCTTCAAGATGTTGTGACAAACTCAAAGGCTGAACGCGAAGGGGTGTCACACTGGTTGGAGTTCAAAAGTGAAACAATGGCTGAATGTGTTAAACAGAAGGCATGATAAGTGTGGAGCTATTTTAAGTGATATCAGCAAACACAAGTTATCAGAGAGGAAGAGAGAAAGTGGTCGAATTGCCCACAGCCACCACGGCAAGGCCTATCTCAACAGCCAGACGGCAGCTCCTCACCAAGGCACTCACTGCAGCGTCCCTTACCCAGTGCAAAGCTTGCAGGAAATTAAACATCCAAACCACAAAACCCTTTGTAATTTTGCCATTATAATTTAAAACCATGTTTCTGATCCTTCCTGCAAGATACATCAGATTAGGCCACACAAGTTATTCAGCAGAAAGGGGCACTAAAAGAATGTCAAGCTTTTATGAGAAAACACAGAGAAAAAAGTAAAAAAACCTATTTTATTTTTTTTTAGGTTTCTCTGTTACCTAGGCAACTAGGGTCCTCACCATCCAGTTACAGCATAGGAAGGATGCAGACTTCCTTAAATCAGAGAAGGAAAAGCAATGCAAACATCGGTTCTGCAGTTCAGACAGGCAGCCCTGTGCCCAGCCTGGCAGGCAGGGTGCTTGGAGCTGCATGAGAACAGCCCTTGCCAGCCCCACTTAGACAGCTTTCCCCTTCCTTCCCCAAATCCTGCAGCTGGACACTGCATCAGGCAACCAGACCAAGTTCAGATGCCAAAGCCTAGAGGGTGAGTCAGTACTTTGAATTTTCACTGCTGGATCATACCAAGAAACTAAGTAAAAAGGACAGATTGCGGGGAAAAAAGCATCAGAGAGGATGAGTGGCAGGCACACAAGTCTAGGTGGAGGATTCTGTACTGGACATGAAAGATCAAGATGTGATAAAAAGACCTTACAACAATATTAAGGAGAAGACAAGTTAAGTTTATCAATGTTTCATATACTTGAGTATTCTTTGTGTATTTAAATGCTCCTCTAGATGCTGACATGACTTTAATAAACTTGGACACAAAACATGAAGAACTGCCTTTGAGGAAGCCAGTGATGGAACCAATCAACAAATGAACCTATCCATCCAAATCCTAATCCTCTCCAACTTTCTACCATTCAGAATTAAGGTGCCATGGCATGTAATCGAAAGAGTGCTTTAAGTGCATTGACTGACTCATTATTCTGAAGATTTCCCAGTTAAAGACTGTCAAGCAAGCTCTGGAGTCAATCAGTATCGATGCTGCACCACAGCTATGGAGTTAACTTTATATGCTTGATTCAAGTCAGACAGAAGATACAATGCTAGAACCACAGTGGACAGGATTATTTCAGTATTTCAAAAGTAGTATCAGCTTGGAGACTGAGGAATTATTTAAGAGCTACAAGGCAGATCTTCCCGTTGGTTGTTAACCAGGTAGGAGGCAGCTCAAGAGTTTTTGGGTGGAAAAAGACACATACGTGATCATCAAGCATACGGAACAGTAACATTTTGAAATTAATTGCCTTCAAGTCATAAAGACTTTAAGATTATTAGGTTGGAGATATTTCTCTGAATTGGTTAAGGGAAAACACTAAAAAGGGGCTGGGTGATATACTGCTTCCACCCTGCACATTATAGGATTAACAAGAGACCTAAATGACATGCAGGTGAACTTTTACAAGAGTTATTGAAATCAGGCATATGTGACCATAGTCATCTAAAAACATAAAATGTTTTAATGTATTTTAACGCCATTTTGGCATTAAAGCTGCATACCATTCTCTCTTCAGAAAAAGCAGCATTTTTTTGTTTCTGCTCATGATGTGCCTTCTATTTCTTTAAGATCTTGAGCAGTTTTGAGAAGTATTGCTCAGAAACGCCCAAAACTTAACTGAGCAGATTTCCATTCCTTCTTCCCTACCCCCAGACAGACTTGCTGCAGGAAGAGAAATTAAGATGACACAAAACAAAATCTAGCATTGCAATGAGACTAACTAATTTAAGAGGCTTAAGTGTCTGTGTATTACACATTTGCCCAAGGAACAGCTGGTTCATTTGTTTTTCTTACTGAAAAACTCTATTCTAAACTGCTGGTTTAGAATAGAGCTGAGCCTGGATTGCTGAATAAATTGGCAATAGCAGAGCTTTCACCTGTAGATTATTGGTGTGAACCCAATATAGGTCACTAATGACTAAAACTCATTATGAGCATCAGAATAGAAGCAGATATTCTTCTGGGTCCTACAGTACAGCAATTCCTAGAGAGAAATGGCTGCGGCAGAAAAGCTGATCTATC